AAAAAAACAACAACAAAAAACGTAGGTCAATAACAGTATAAATGTTGGCCATGTCCTTGAAATGTTACATGCTCCATAAAGGTCAGTCAGCATAAGAAACTAAACACATTACAAAATGAGCTTCTGAAAAAACTTGGATTTCAAGTTCCATAACAGGTGAAAGGTTTCTTGTGTGTGTGTATTTTGGGGCGGGAACTCCAACTTCAAGTCATATAGGCCTGAAAGACAGGCACATCTAGTTGAGGACTTTTAGATCTCTTAGGAAAATTTCCATCTTCTTCCTTATTGTAAGAGCTTAGTTTTCAAGCTCCTGATGCGCTGTGAGCAACTGGTCGTAAGTCCCATAAAGATGTGCTGAATTGTTTCAAAAGTATACCTCAGTTCCTTGGGGAAACTCTATGTTTAGGGCATAGAGTGGGCCAAAAAAGGTAGGCAAATGCAGTGGGGAGGTCTGGCAGATCTGTGAGGACGACATCCTCTTCCAAGACAACAGCAATACTGTTGATTGTTGGAAATGAGGCAGGGTGCACCATCGTCTGCGACAACAGTGAGGATACCCATCTTGACACCAACGGTCTGCCTATCATCCATATCAGAATCCTGTTGAAAAAATGTGGATTCAATTAAAATAAAATGTAACTGCAAAACAAAAAACTTGTGTGATTGCTCAACGATCACACAATACAACAGGAAAAACGGGCTCTACATGTAAACTAGCTCACTAATAATTTGATACTAGGTCTAGTGAGCATTACACTTCATATGCATTATAATTGATGGAAAAGGTATTGATAATGTACACACCAAGCATTTCAGGAAAAGCTTCCCCGGCGTATCACGGACAAATAAGGGCAGACCTTCCACACAGGTTCTCTTTCGATGCCGGGCAATGTCTGGAAATGAGACATAAAAAGCAATAGGACTTTAAAAGGAGTGGTTTTAGGTCAGTGTCAGCATGTTTAAAGTTAGTCAAGACACAGTATGGTAAAGATAACCCAAATAGATCCATGTACTTTCTAGAGTGTGAGAATTTAAAAACCTGCCACTTAAAAACCAGGCTATGTTTGATCCTCATAGGACAGAAATGTGTAAATAGAAATATTCAACATGATTTTAGTGTGCTTTGAGATGAGTGAAGCTGATCACCAAATTTCAACAGCTGTGTGCAATTTGAACTGACTCAATATATTCTTAAAAGAACATATTAACAAGACCAAGACTTTTCATCCTTCAAAAATATTCGCTCCTTTTAGCAAAAATATGTTAGTAAGGTAAAAGAAACCATGACCTTTGACCTCTAAGATCAAACACCAAACAGTTCATCCTGATGCAATTCGATTTACTTGCTCTTGTGGAAAAAAAATAGATAAATATACAAGAAAAGTATTTCGAAGCAGACAAAAAAAACCACATTTTATTTAGAAGAAGGACAAACAGAAAAAGACAACGTGTGAAAAGTGGACACTAATGGAGAAAAAAAACAAAAAAAAGATATCTAAATTTTGTTTATAGAACATTTAACCTAACAGTAAAGACAAGTTAAGTTTAAGTTTGTTCAAAAACAAATGAAATCTTTGATGTTATGAAAGATGAATATACCTGTTCATCAAGACTTTTCAAAAGGTTTTCCATGTCTTGTCCAAAGGCTCCTTTCCTGGCTCGGTACAGCTGAAAGCAGTCGGGAACAGTACTCATCCATGGCTGCTCTGAAAGTCCCCAACAGGTCCTTGGTGGTGATACGATCGAACTCTCTGCAAATCTGTGTCACACAAAGAAACATAAAAACAGAAATACAATAATGAGTTAGTAGCAATTCAAACATTTCCTTACCTGTGTCATGAAAGAAAAATTTTAGTCACATCAATCAAACACAAAGCCCAAACTTCTGATGTGACACACTATCGCTTACACAGCACTCTGAATAGTTAACAAACAAGCTGTCTATTAATGTTTAAAATCTGTCTTGCCTGTTCTTCGAGAAACAGAGCAGGCCATCTCTCCTGGATTTCCAAGACCATGGGCTGTACCTCGACAATCTCTTTTCTCCTGAAGAGAGAACGTGAGGTCCATGATCTGTCGAATGACTTCCATGTCTTTGCTCCTCTTTTTCATTTCATCCACTAGGACACATCTTTGGTCTTCGAGGGTATCATCGTTGTAGTTTTCTGGATGATCAGGCACATGATTGATCTCACCTCGCTTGGGTTTTTTCAAGGAAAACCTACCCTCATCAACATCTTCATCCCGCCCTCTTCTTCTGTTTACATTGACCTCGTTGCAACCAGCCTGGCGCAGCTTTGATCGGTAGTTTCCAAGCTTATACTTTATACTTGTTTTCCATCCGTCGTATCCTGTGCCACCACCAGGCTCTGTAAGGCGTGGGTATTTGCTCACAAGTTCAGAAGCAACAGATTCCATTTGGTCTTTGTCAGGGTAGGCTTTTAGAGCAAACATTTCTTGTGCCAACTTGTCTAGAATTTCCATTTTCATGTCTCGAGTTACGCTCAGACCTTTTCCAGTTTTTTCAAATACCACATTGCTCTTACGAAGCTTTAAGTCAACATCATATGAAAAAGACGGGATTGGAAATGGTGAAGGCCACTCCGAAAGGCTTCGCATAAAGGTTCTAACGATGAAAGATGAGCTGTGGGAAGAGGCTTGAGAGTTGACACTTGCTGTATCAAGGGAGGAGATTGAGGCTGCTTGGGATGGTGCTTGTGATTCATCAGGATTCCAAATAATGTGCAAGACAGCTTTTTCTGCAGGCAACTCTGCAATGTCCATTAAGTTGCAAGGTGCGTTTCCAAAATCTGGGTCTTCATACTGCACAGAGAAATCACCTTTAAGTCCAAGCTTTTCGCGTAGTTCATTTTGCAGTTGTTCGACAGATTCAGGGGCCTCAGTCAGCTGAACTTTCCGGATGAGTTTTGGGTTTATGTTCACACGCAGCAACAACGCCTGTGAAGACAAACAAAAATATGAGTTATGCATTGGCATTCAACTTAGCTCAAATGATTAACAGAGTGTCTAGTTACTCCAGCATTAAGCACATACATAAATATGTTTAAAAAATGCATTTCAATTGTCATATTAAAGTAGAAATTGTAATATATCTGTAGTTCAATGCATATGACTTCTTATGTTGTATGTTTGT